ATCATCGCGTCCTTCTATTTGCTCAGATGACAAAGATGCTCAATATTCTTGAGGTAATGTTTACATTCGATCTCTTCTGTTCCTTGGTCAGTCAGGATCCTATCATTTTCCTCAAGTTATCAACCTCTCCATTGTGGTTTGTTATACTCAGTATAATTATGGTGAATTGTGAATGCATTTGATCATCCTTATGGGCGTACATTGTTCACCTAATGGGTCGCCTTGCTGAAGTGTCTTTACTTGCTGATGACTTGCTGAAGCCAAAGTAGTGAAATCGGAAAATGTATGATGATTCAGAGTCCTGGATCCGGATTTAGGGGAAAAACTGCAATCCTTGTAGATATCCAATATCATTTAGTAAAGAGGCATAGAACCGACTGTCCTTCTATAGTTCATAGTGTTCCCTTCTTTTTCTTTCTTTAGGGCCATATTAGTGTGCCTTTTCATATTTGTTATTCTTCCCCTCTTTGTTGCCAGATAAGTCCTTGCATGTGAATCCCAGTATCAAGTTTCACATGTTGGTGAATCTGTAAGTCTAGAAAGAACAAAGGGCAAAGCAGTTGATGTCACTTATGGGGTGCAAGTTCCTAACCTGTCACTCTGTCTTTCCTTAAGTGCGACCGACATCCCCTATATATCCTCTATCCATCACAAATCACGCTGCCTTTCCTCTCAAGTGGCCGTGACAACACCCGCTCCTCTCTCTCTCTCTCTCTCGCTCGCTCAAAAACGTCTTTTGCCAACAGTAGTCCTTTGGCACCAGGAGATGCAAGGTGGTAGTGGAATACAAGTGCACTGTGCAGATTCAGCAGTTGCGTTCCCTCTCGAGCAAGATATCTTCAGCCTATTGATCTCATGAATATTGGTTTCAAGTTTCTCTCTGGTTTGCAAAAGTTCTTCAAATCCATTGACTCAAATTGCAGATTTTGAATTGTGGTCGATACTTTTAGGGATAATGACACAAATAGTCCCTGAACTTTGGCTCAATGTGCAATTTGGTCCTCGAACTTTTAATTTGTTCAATGTAGTCTTTGGACTTTTGGTATATGTTCAATTTAGTCCCCGAACTCTATGAAAATATTTAATGTAGTCCTTCCATTAATTCAAGTTCAGGGACTACAGTGAACATTTTCATATAGTTCAGGGATTACATTAAACATGTACCAAAAGTCCAGGGACCACATTAAACAAATTAAAAGTTCAGGGACCATATTGAACATTAGGCTAAAGTTCAGGGACCACATTGAACAAATTAAAAGTTCAGGGACCTAATTGCACATTGGGCCAGAGTTCAGAGATTTTTTGTGTCATTTTCCCATACTTTTAACGAGTAATGGTAACTTTTATGTGTGTTAGTATGTTTATGTTGAGTTGCACTTTTTGGTTGACTTCATAAACATGCTGATAAGTCATAGATCTGTGGAATTTCCCTCTATTTGCTTATTGCTTTCAACACTCTGTTAGAATCAGTCAGGATAACTGGGCAGGTCCGACTTGTCACTGATTCATTTTCATCACCGTTCTTCTTATTATTTTTGCTTAATTAGGTGCTTAAGTGCGCGATAGCATCGTTGTTCTCTTATTATAGGGAGAAATGGATTAGTGGTATATATAACAATATTTATCATGAGTGGATACTTCTATTGATCAGATTCGTTCCGAGCTGGGTATCTGACATGCCACATCTTTACAGGACTATATGAATTACAGGAAATATAGGTACCTAAGGTTGGATGGATCCTCCACCATTATGGATCGACGAGATATGGTCAGAGACTTTCAACATCGGTAGGGACTTTAAAATGATGTTCTGACTCACTTTGTCTGCAATTCGAATGATGTTTTGTGTGCGATTCCTTGTTCTTTGGAAAATTAAGTTGTACTACTATTGTTAAATTGTTTTATTTCTCTCGCAGGAATGATATTTTTGTCTTCTTACTAAGTACCAGAGCTGGAGGACTGGGAATTAACTTAACAGCGGCTGACACGGTCATATTTTATGAAAGTGATTGGAATCCAACACTGGATTTGCAGGCGATGGATCGAGCTCACAGATTGGGTCAAACAAAGGATGTCAGTTGTGAAAACTCTCATGGCCTCCTTTTAATTCCAGATCCTTATTTCTTCATTTTAGTACCCTGTCTTAGGAGTACATCTTTGCCGCTGCCCCTTCCAGAAAAGAACCCTCCTTTCGTAGCATTCAAGTAACCTTGGAAATGCATGCAAACAGTCAAAAACCATCTGTGCTTGCTGAAGTTGGTGTCCATTTGGCCTTTATGAAAACGTTTTGTGATATGCTTGTTGATTTTGGATTCTATCTTCAAATGAAAATTTCAGTCTTGTCTTTGTGTTGTAGGTTACTGTCTATCGGTTAATCTGTAAAGAGACAGTTGAGGAGAAAATTCTTCAAAGAGCTAGTCAGAAAAATACTGTTCAGCAGCTTGTCATGACAGGTGGTCATGTCCAGGGCGATCTGTTGGCTCCTGAGGATGTTGTGTCATTACTTTTGGATGATGCTCAATTGGAGCAAAAACTAAGAGAGATTCCACCACAGGTTGGCATAGAACGTCTATCATTGTTGTCTTTTTCGGACTTTAGTTGATGCAGCTTCACCTGTATCCTGCGTTTGAAAGAAATATCCTAATGAGATGGAGAAAGCACAATATAAATGAAGCTTGGGTGTTGCAAAGGGTGATATATTATCTCATTCCATTGTCAGGTTAAGGATAGACAAAGAAAGAAGCAGCCAACAAAGGGCATCCGCTTAGATGCTGAAGGGGATGCGTCTTTGGAAGACTTAACAAATATCGCTGCTGAGGGTGCTGGAAATGAGCCCAATCCTGATGCAGACAAATCAAAGTCCAGTAGCAAAAAGGTATCCTCACATGTATCATCAATTTATTTTAAGAGATTGAGATTTACTCTGCGAAACTATCTAAAAGAGAGGCATGAGGCATGACTAAAGGAGCGTAATTGTGTGATCTGGGGTAAAATTGTTGAAATTTGTTATTACCGGTGTAAAACCTAGACTTTTGAAATTACTTTCGTGTTTGTGCAAGCTCGTGGTCTAATTAATGAAACTCTGTCCCCGTTAGCACCAATCGGGATGGGCATTGCTATCTGAGGTATTCCATTTCAAGTTGTTAGCAGGAGGGGAGTAGCAACACCCGTGGGGAACATTCTCTAGTTGTGGACTGAGGAACTGAAAATTTTGAACTTAATGGAAAATTTTTGGTCATAAACTGTGGATGTAAGATGTATATTTTATGCTAATAGTGATGTGTGGTATCTGCTGGCATCAACATGTACCTCGTTCTGAATGTTTTATTTCTTTGTTTGTTGCACGCTCCACGTGTGCCCCCACTTTTTCATGCACATTTATCGTGAGAGGGGTGGGTGAGTTTGAAGGGATATCGTGCTAGTGCAAGCTTTTATATTATGTCTCCCTAGGATTAAAGGTGGTTCTTGTGTATTAATTGCCTTGTTGTTTACCCATCTCATTTATCGTCAATGTACATACTAGCTTGATTGCTGCTGTTGCACTGTTTTTGTTTGTCTTTTTGCCTTATTATGCTGTGAACTTTTTCGCTGGTGATTATTTTTGGACTCTCCGTGCTTTTTGAACACTAGCATGACTTGTAAGGATGGTGTCGATAGCATCCTCTCTCTTTCTCCTTTTTTTTAACTTGCTCTGTGGGTAATGCAGAGGAAACCTGCTGCCGATAAGCAAAATTCGTCGAAGTCAAGAAACCCGCCTAGGATGAATGAACATAGCTCGTCGCCCGCAGAGTATCCTTTTGATGACGGCTTACAATATAATGACCAGCAATCACAGAAACCGAAGAGACTAAAGAGGCCTAAGAAGAGTGTGAACGAGAATCTCGAGCCTGCATTTACTCCTGCGCCCAACATACCTCCGGAGCAGACCCTATTTCAGTCTATTCAGGAGTTTGGTTCCAGTGATCCCAGTACATGAACACACGACAACTTGTGACGTGATTATATAAAGGAATCGCGAGTTGTATAATTATATCCGCTCCCACTGGCTGACCTTCCACATTGCGAAAGGCGTCGAGTGCCGCTTTTTGGCTCCTTCATGGCATCGGGGAAGAGTGATGAGATTCGGGGAAAAGGCAACGTCCGACCTGTATGATTTTTTTGTATAGTTTTCGGCAAAATTGTCGTAGATCTACTGTTTATGGATAGCTTGTATAGGCCAGAGTTTGTCGAGTAGCAGAGAGAAACATTTGTACAGGTCAAATCCCATTTATAATGGAAAGTCCTGTTCGGAAGAGTCTCTGGTCCTCTCTCTCTCTCTCTCTCTCTCCAACAAAAGCTGGCTTTCATGAAAAGAAAGTCTTTCAGCGAACTCATTTTGTTCCTTGATAGACTTACCCTCGTGCGCTGCTAGTTTGAGGAAACCTTAGGTGCCGAATCCACCAAGCATTCCTGGGGAGAGAAATGCTTAAGTGTATTAAAGACAATAAAATTGATATACTAAATTTTATAGCACGACATATACAGATATTGGAAATATTACTTGGTACTTCTGGTCTACGTTAGCCAACTTTACGACCGTCGGTCGGTCGTTAGAGGTATTTAAAATGTCCTGCTTATTTGCCATTTTTTCTCTGATCAATCTTACTAGATTCGGCGGTGCCATGTTTCTCTCTCTTTTGCCCCAACTTCACCTTGCCCAAAAAACCAGACATATTGGGGGTTGACGGGCTTGAGTAATGAAGCTCGGCCCGAGAGAGAGAGAGAGAGAGAGAGAGAGAGAGAGAGAGAGGGGGGGAGGACAACAAATGAAGAAAACAGGGCAAAAATGCAAATGGCAAAGGACCCAAGTCACGGGACAGGACACGGGGACTAAGATTGAGACCAATGTTTCGAGTCCTTTCGTGGGTACACTCGTGTTAATCACCGTTTTGGGAAGTTGGCGAGCTTCCAAAATATTTATTGCCCTTTGGCACCCAACTCTATACCCAACTAATCCATTCATTTCATTCAATGCCTCTCTCTCTCTCTACATGACTCCAGCTCACCAGTTCCTCGTTTCAAGCTTGTAAGCTTACATGCAAATCCTCTCGTGTTCACAGTGACTCGCTCGAATTCACAGTCGCAGTCACGGTCTTGTCATGCGCCTGAGCTTTTAGTTTGGTTCTTTACCTTCTGGGTCCAGCAATGGAGTTTTTTTGAATGACGGAAGAAATGGTCAAGTTTATAAGTGGGGAGAGTGTTGTTACGATCACAAGTAAACGACCCTTTATTGGACGGCTCCGCTTTGGAGTTGCCGACACGGAAAGGTCGGTCTTTTCCCTTTCCGGCAGTATCTTAGTGGCATTTTGGGGATTTTCATTGGGCTTTGTAGGTGTGGGTAGATGAACGAACTTAAGAAGGCGGAGATAACGAAGGCGTGTGGCAGTTCGCTTCATCCGCTGAGAGATGACGGACTCGAGCACATGTACTTAAATATTCTGTGGAATTGTTCTCGCCATGAGTAAAATGCCTTGAATTCGAGTAGCGGAAAAGAAGAAAAGAGAGAAAAACTCCGGTTTGGGTGGCCAGAAAATCTGAGTGGAAAAAATGCAGAGTTAGTTTGAGTTTTGGTGAAGAATATCCAACCAACAAGATTTCATTCTTCTGATGAACGGCGAAGCTCGGAAAAAGTGGGAGAAGTTTGTGGGGTTTTAAGCTGGGGGTTGTGATCATTCATTTAGTGGAAGGTTGTGTTGAGAGAAGCAGCTGCATAAAATCAGGTGGGTTTTGTAGTGTCTGATTTTTGTGGAGTTAATGCAACCATCATAACAATAATAAGAAGTGGTGAGACATACAGGTCACGCCTCTTCGATATCGCTGAAGGTTCTTAGGAATTAAGGTGGTACTGGTATTGTTGATCTGTTGATTTTGGAGTTGTATTAACTCTTTGGAAGAAAATGGTGGGTAGTGTTGAGAGGGTTGCTCATAATGGGTACTCGAATGGGTCCATTCACAATAATGGGAATGGTTTGGAGGAAAAACTCGACGAGCTCAGGCGTCTTCTCCTCAAAGCTGATGGTGATCCGTTGAGAATTGTTGGTGTGGGGGCCGGTGCTTGGGGCAGTGTTTTTGCAGCTCTGCTTCAAGATAGCTACGGCCAATTTCGTGACAAAGTTCAAATCAGGATATGGCGAAGGCCTGGTCGAGCCGTGGATAGAGCCACAGCTGAACATCTTTTTGAGGTCATAAATTCAAGGGAGGATGTCTTAAGGAGGTTGATACGACGCTGTGCGTATCTGAAGTACGTTGAGGCTAGACTTGGCGATCGTACTCTATTCGCTGATGAGATTCTGAAAGATGGTTTCTGCTTAAACATGATCGATACGCCTCTCTGTCCCTTGAAGGTGGTCACTAACTTGCAGGAGGCCGTTTGGGATGCTGATATTGTGGTGAACGGGTTGCCTTCCACGGAGACAAGTGAGGTGTTTGAAGAGATCAATAATTATTGGAAGGAGAGGATCACGATGCCCATCATTATTTCTCTGGCGAAGGGCATAGAAGCTGCATTAGATCCTGAACCTCATATTATAACTCCTACTCAGATGATTAACCGTGCAAGTAAGAGTTGCATCTTTGCAATTAAGAAATTATCTATCAGTCCTCTCTTTCTCTGGAGTGCATTGTGAAGGGGGTTTGCTATCTTGCTGCTTTGTGTGTAGAAATCTGTTTGCCATATTCAATTTTACTTTTGGCTGCATTTTGAAAGATGAAGAAAACTGAATCCATTGAATGGGCTGTAGAGTTAAACGAAATAACACGTCATTGGATCTTAGGGATATTTTCAATCAAAGGAGTAAAAGAATTAATTCAAAGTGAAAAAAGTGACAAACATGATGAAATGTGGGCTTCATCCTAGTCTAGCCAACTTTGCTTCGGCAAAAACATAGGAAGGGAATCGTGGAAGAGAATATTTAGAAACTCAGATTCATATTCTGTCTGTTTAGGACATTGATGAGTGCTTCCCTTCCAACACTGAGCATCATCACTTGACAATTTGTGTTTTCACTCCATTCACCTGCTGCATTGAAGTTCAATCTTGCATATTTGCGTTGCTTATACAAATTGGTGGTTGCATCCATCCGCTTTCTAAGCATTTATGTTATCCGCATGCTTGGCAGCTGGAATCCCCATAGAGAACATACTTTATCTTGGTGGACCCAATATTGCTTCTGAGATTTACAATAAGGAATATGCAAATGCTCGAATATGTGGATCTGACAAATGGAGGAAGCCTCTCGCGAAATTTTTAAGACAACCCCATTTTACAGTGTGGGACAATAGCGATCTTGTCACACATGAGGTCATGGGCGGCCTCAAGAATGTCTATGCCATCGGAGCTGGTAATTTGCCAATAATCCAGTAATTGTATATAATGCAATCATGTCCATAACATTATCATATCTTATATATTTGTTTTGAGAACCTCCGGGCGTTTTGTTCCTTGCGTGCTGAAATTTTCCAGGCATGGTTGCTGCTCTTACCAATGAAAGTGCTACAAGTAAATCGGTGTACTTTGCACACTGTACATCGGAGATGATATTCATAACCCATTTGTTGGCGGAAGAACCAGAGAAATTGGCGGGACCTTTGCTGGCCGACACGTATGTGACGTTGTTGAAAGGTCGTAATGCATGGTACGGGCAAATGTTAGCCAAGGGGCAGCTGAACCTGGACATGGGAGACAATATCAGTGGAAAAGGAATGATTCAGGTGTCCGTATTTTGCGACCTTACGGTCTTAATGCAATTGTCAGCTTACACATAACTGTGATGATTTAGTTCATTTATTAGTTCCCCTAGGTTGCGTATATATTTGCCTAATTTCCTTTTGTTAGCATGTTTGATCTTATGCTCAACTGTTGCCGACTTCGTTATATTAATTACAGGGTGTCTCAGCTGTTGGAGCCTTCTACGAACTATTGAGCCAGGCGAGCTTAAGCGTGTTGCATCCCGAAGCAAAGAAGCCTGTTGCTCCCGTTGAACTATGCCCGATCCTGAAGACACTATATAAGATTCTGATAGTGAGGTACTTTCTGCATTGCGATTAACGTCTAGGATATATTCTTATCTTGCAAATCAATATCAGCTTACTCTCTCGCATATATGCTAATTCATTTCATTTTGCAAGCCGACTAATCTCAGCTCCCTCCAATCATTGAATCCCTTCTATGGAAATAATTTTTGTGTGGTTGCCATTTGCCAGGGAACAACCTGCGCGAGCTATCCTGCAAGCACTGAGAGACGAAACCTTGAATGATCCTCGCGAACGAATCGAGATTGCACAGAGCCATGCTTTCTACCGACCTTCGCTTCTTGGTCAGCCTTGAGCGGCTTGTTCTTCCGAGAGAGTGATAATAAGAAACCAGCATCTTACTTGTATGTGAGACAGAATCATAATGGGTTTATAATGGACTTTGAATTAATACATCTATATTTTGATCAACTGGTAGCTCTTACCTTTTAGCTAGAAGTGGCTGCACAGCTTTTATGCAGGATTTTGCAAGTCTTTTCAAACACTTCTCAAATTAAGATGGCACTTTTATCTCCCTGTTCTTAATGATTAAATCTGCTTAATTGGTCGGCTTGCATTACTTTGATCCTAACAGAAGGACCAGAATCAAGATGGATCCAACCGGATCTCACTTCTTACCCAAGCCCTCTCTAGTCTCTTTGACTTTTTCAAGTTGGGGGGTTGTTGGGTAGTGACTGAGATATGGCTTCAAATTTAAGAAAGAGCTAATGGATAGGAAAGAGTTGAACAAGCCAAATGTTTTGAGGAAATGGGTTGGCTGAGTGGAATCAATTGAGTCATTTTCATTCTACCCGAGACACTCAGAAAAAACAGTTTTTGATTCTCCAGCGAAGATGCATCATCTGTCGGATCCTCACTTTTGAGGCCGGGCGAATTTATGGCATAACTAAGCTCAGCTAGTCTCATGACCAAACTGCAAAACCATCATCTCGTGCCGCAAATGACCTATGAAATGAGCAACCGGAATCCTCCGAGAGCACCTAATAATTTTTTTATTATCATACTGTCGTAGTAGTAGATGACCAGTAGATCAAGAGAAGTGTTGTCTAGGAAAGGCAAACTCTTTCCAATGGGTAATATTTAAGTTGCGCAGTTTAAGATTTAACTCATAAGACAATGTGAGTGTTAAAAAACAGAATTTCTCTGTGCTCATTTCCACTCGGGCTGAAAAATTGCCATTAAAGCATAACCAAACGGAGCCTGCAGGCCGCGCTTCCTGCTTACCTCAAGTCAACAACTGAAAGCTAGCTGAAGGAGTTCTAGCTACAAACTCTGGCTGATTAATGACCGGCAACATTCTTTTACAAAGACAATATATGATGTTAGCAGAATTGAAAATTTCAAGGTCGATAGTGATACCACCTGCACTTTGTCAACATTCACGAACGAAATATACATACTCCAACTCCTAGACAACACATTGTTTCTACTTGCCCAATTGTACGAAGTGTAAAAGACAAGTGATCCTCCCATCATTTCCTACATGCTTACTCTTTCAGCACGTGTATACCTATTTATGTATATCTGAACAACAAGTGTATTAAAGCTTTTCTTACTAAAGTACCTATTACTGTGTATCACGTGATGTATGATTTCTCGCCGTGGTCCTTTGAAGATGGAGCCAGCCTGTAACCCACACGGATCAGCACGGAACTTTCCAAGGTGCGATTGAAGTTGCAAGAATACCCACATATGTGCAAATACAAGCTGTAAGCACATAGCAGATACAAACCATACTCAACAAAATCCGCACCCGTAATCTAGCAACGACCCATTTTATTAGCTATTTGCTCGACCAGCAACTTTTTTGTAAGCTTATAGTAGTTTTTGAGTTTGTGTTCCTTTGCGATGGCCCTCAGATCATTTAACTTCAAACTCTCCAAACTGACTTCAGCAGGGCGCTGCAATATCCCCAGCTCGTTGTGTAAATCATCTGATTTCTCATGTTTGATCATCAGTGGTTCGGCCTTACATCCAGGACCAGATACTTCTGCTACTAAGTCGCCCATTTTAACATGTGCATGGGTAACCCTCATGGAAGGTTCTGTGTTTGATGTCTTGTGTCTTTTCCTTTGTTGCTGAGAAACCAAACCTGCACTAACATCATGTTCGAGAGCAGGATGTTTGGCTTCAGAGTGGATCGCAAGAACAAATTCCTTCAAAATCTTTCCAGTCAAAGGCTTCTTTACATTGGAGCACTCGTTAACAATTCCGAACATCCATCCCCCTATGGTGTTTGAAAGGGATGCACTAGGTGCAATTTCCACTTGCTGCAATCTTTTAGAACTCAATACATTTTGCTCTATTTCCCTCTTAACCTTCTGCTTCTGTGGCCTCTTTGACTGGATCAAGTTGGATCTAGCTACAACAGAAGCATCATCCTGTAATTTGACTGCAGTGGAAACTTTGTCTTCTTCCCCAGGATCTGTCTTCATCACATGTTCACTTTTCCGGTCCTCTAGCTCTACCATTGAGTTCAAGGCAGAACTTTCAGTGTCAGGATTTCTGCTTTCCCCACTAACAATCAGAGATGAGCTCGGCAAGGTCTGCTTCTTGGAAAGAGCAGCCTCTGGTTCTTCCTTTTCATCTTTCAAGGCAATTTTTAGCATTTGATCGCTATATCTTGGCTCTTCATCAGGATTTCTGTTATTTTCTGGAAGTGCTCCTGTTGCAGTGTTAGATGTCTTCGTTCTCCTATCGCAACCACCATCATGAATAGAAGGATCTGGAACAGTATACTCAGTGGTTGCATCTGGAGGCTGGTCATTGATATGAATAATTGCGTCATTGATGGAGTTGATATTGCGTTTAAGTGCTTTTCCAAGAGTTCTGCCCGTCAACTTCCCAAACACAATGAAAATGATGGAGGTACTTCACTGAAACAAATGAAGAAATGAAATTCTTACCTCATCAGATTTCATGGTGCTGTCCTGCGGCTTCAAAGGCTGATTTAACATTCTGCTCCTATCTATAACACTACCATTTCCATGTCCAACATCATCACTAACTTCCAGTTTAGGCTCACACATCTTAACCATATTCCCATCGCAAGTAGTTTCATCTCTTAGAGCAGACAAACTGGAGCTTTTGATACTGGTACTTGGGGGCTATGGATAGCAAGAAGAGAAAAGCAGAGGTGAAAGTCAGATAGGTGAACAATTCCTGTAGCGTTAGAATCAAACTAAAAGCTGATTCAACAATGCAACAGTGCCATGATTTGCACATTTGAGCTGATATCAAACCTGAGTAGAGAACTTAACAGTACGTTTTTTAGGTAAGTAATCTAAATGCACATTTATCTTGTGAAGAAAGAAATAATTTTCTTTTCCTCAGACTCGTTTGATGATTTTAGGGCTGCTACACTGCAAACAGTAACGGAACTATATCCAACCTCTGAAATCAAAGCTTTGGGATGAGGTTCCTCCCATTGTTTCTCGTCAGAATTGGAATGAACAGATGAATCATTTACTGCATCTGTACTGGAACTTCCATCAATTGTTTGCAGAGAAAGTTCATGCTTCTGCGAAAAGCAGTCATCATCAGTCACTAGATGAACTAGATAACGGTCAGAATCTGCTGGTAGCTCTATCAGGAACACACAATGAGTATACGACATATTTTTTTTGGTCAAAAGTATATGACATATTCACATATGTTAAGAGCAGCAAAGAGGAAACTACAAAATACAAAGGCAGAAATAATTGTCTTAAGATATTTCCTCATGCTTTGCCCAAAAGAGGTGCCGTGTCAATGCATAAATCATTAGATGTAAATAAATATGTTTAGAAGCAAGAGACTACTTCTTGAAGACATTCCCTCAGTCGTAACAATACAACAGATGTAGCCCAATTAAATATTTATAAATTGATCAAAAGAGGGGGATGTTTGCAGGATTTCTGATGTTACTTGTCAGCCACTTATAGAAAAGACGAATAGGTCAATAGGGTCAAAAAGAGGATGCCGGCAAGTGATTTATTAAACTCAACAAGCTTACCACTCTAACAAAGAACGCACACATACTTCTGATTAGTATAAAAGGAAGATTCATACAGGGTATTGCTTACTGCTACACAGAAACGTGGACATCTCCTAACTTAATCCACAAACGAAAAAACAAGAAAACTGTTAAAATTACCACCAATGGTGGATTTGCCGATTTTGAGGACTGTTCATTCTTTCGAATCTCCAAGCAGGGAAGAATCAATAAACAAAAGACAATGATAAACCTAATTATTCGTGACATAGGAACTGGAAGCAATTGACAAAATGAATGCCACACTTCAATTTGTGAATGGAAGCAGTTAGCCATTGCATCTTTGACAAATCAATCTTATGTCAACTATTCCTTTCTCCTTGCGCTCTTTGGATCTAGTTAGGAACATCAGATCCTGGTGCCACAAGCACAGGTTTGGTTGCCATTAGAAGTACAACGATAACAATTCAAGAGCCAAACCTGGTTCTTTTCATGGCAGTAGCTCCTGAGTAGAGCCTTCACCATGTCATGCATTCTTTCAGCAGGTTCCTCATTCACATTTGAATGAGCGCCCGAATCATCTTGATCTCTACATCTCAACCACTTCAGAGATACATGAAAGTAATCAATCTTTTCTTTCAATGCATTGCAGCATATGTTAGGCCATTCTTCATATTCGACACACGCTAGTTCACTTTGCAGGCACACCAGATGCTTTTCTAGTTCATCGATTTCGTCATCAGCCTTCCTCACCAATATTTGCAGCACTTGTACACAAGCCATCTCATTTGCTGCATTCCCTTCTAGTACATCTGCAACCAGCAGATATAGTTGGAATCAGAGTTCCACCATTACTGATGACAAGAAAATCACTGCCAGGACATGCAAAGAAGACAAGGACGAAAACTCACCAACACCATAACCTCCGTGGAAGTCATGTTGACACCCACATTGCATGTCGATGCTGCTCTCTGGTGCAACTGTAGAGATATAATTGAATCATAAGAACGTGATGGCACACACAAGGAGCCTTGATATTGAAAAAAAAAATGAAATAAGTAAAGAGCAGGAGAACCTTGGATGTGGGGTGGATCCCAGAGATCCCATGTCATAATCTCGTGACTGTTTATCCTGGAAAGTTTGCAATTTACCATCAAATCTTTGTTCTTAGCAATACCATTCCCGAAACTGATGTAGACGAAGGTTCATGAGTCAACATATACATGAAGATGTTTACGCAAGCTTACAGGTGTAGACGACATGCTATAGCAGCTATTTGTGGGTAGATTGGGCATGGGAAACACTCGTGGACATTGTACAACTAGAACAAACAATCGGTTTTTCATGGCCATTGAATGGAGAGGCAAAGAAATTTATCCATGGGCCATCAAGAAAAGCACATAAAAAAGCAAGAAATGTGCGAAAACCAGCAGAAAAGGAAAAGAGAAAGGAAGAGAAATACCCAGTCGGCTGCATCAATACTGAACGTGAAATCACCCACCTGAGCAACCAACAAACGCAGGAATGTCACTTTAACAATAAATTAAGGACATGAACATTCCATTCGATCGATGATGCGACCCAGCCAGTAAGACAAAGTTAAAGCGTCGCAGTCGAAGCAAATGGATGCTGAAAATTACGAACTCGGAATCGCTGAGGCGAAACTCCCGAAAACTCGATCGAACAGAAATGGCCAAAGGAAACGAGAGCGACCCGGAAGAAGAAGAAGAAGAAGAGAGATCGTGGGGAAGTGGCTTCAGCCACGGCGAGTTCTTGTCGTGAGGCGCAATAAAAGAGGCCGCGTCCGCGGTGCGAAGGAGGTGCAAGATGACGTAGACTCTGCTCTGCTCGTAATGGCAGCTTCTAAATTTGTCGACGGATCGCGACAGCTAACGCACGCCATTACGCGGTCAATGTGGCAAGAAAAGATTACGCGAATCCTCCGTGCATGTGCGGGTCGCCATCTTCTCGCCAAAACAAAGGAAAAAGGTACACGGAAAGAAACGAAACAGGGGCAGAGACAGAGACGGAGATGAGGATGGCAGCACCCCGTCGAAGACGACGAAGCGAGCGAGAAAAAGACTGGCGTGAAGAAGCGGGAGAGATGGAGGACCAAGAACGGAGCGTGAAGCAGCAGTACCTTGAAAACGACAGAGAGAGAGAAAGAGAGGCCCGCAAGTGAAAGCGACCGACCACCTGCTCTGCTCCCCACGTTCTTCTCAGCAGGAGGGAGAAAAAAGACTGCTACTGACTGCATTGAAGAAGGTGGCGACGAGAGGGAGAGAGATAGAGACGGAGAGACAGGGGTGGGGCCCCACCTCGGACGACCTTTTTGGACACGTAAGCAGCCTACGTGGATGCTGCGGTGCCTCGTTGAAACAAATCTTTTTGTTAGAAACGTTGACGATTACGAACAGATCTTCTTTACTTTTTCGAAAGTTAAAAACATAATTTATCGCTTGAGAATATCATTTGAAGTTGCTACGGAGGAAATTCTTTTATTCGATGATTAGTATCACGAAAAATTTTAAATTAATATATTTATGAAAAATTTATCTTAAATTAATATTTTGATCATCAAAAATCTCAAATTGGTACAGCTGCAATAAATTTATCCTAAGTTAATTTTTCAACCATTAAAAACTCCAAATCGATACACATTTTTCGATTTAAATTCAAATAGCTAATTTCATTTCTCAATGGCACATGTAAAGATATGTTTACAAGCACATTTCAATTGCAAAAGCGCAACTCACCAAAACTAGTTAACAATCAAGTTTTATTCACTTGTTTATTCAACTCTGCACGCACAAGCTACGCGATCAACTCTAGTTTTTGGATTTATTAAAGAAAGTTTTGGTGCCGAAAGATTAGTTTATTTAAGAACCTAATGTTTGCAAACATCGAAATTGCAAATTCAGTCAAATCAATTCAATCGGTATTGATCCCTTTCACATCACGTTACAAAAGCTATTAGCGCTTTTGAATCTTTTATTCATCCTTTCCATAATTGAAAATTTTCTTACATCTAATAAATAACAATCGCATTATACTAATATAAGAAGGGAAAATACTACAAAAAATCTCAAACTATGCCACTTCCGACAAATTTACCCTGAACTTTTTTTTGTTACATAAAAAACCCCAACTATGTTACTCGCGACACATTTACCCTACAATACTTTAGCTATGAGCATTTTCGTCTTTTTCCTTTTTTTTGTTTTTTTTCCTTTTTTTTTCTTTTCTTCTCTCTACCGGCGAGGGCTGCCTTCGCCGGATCCGGCGTCGGGCGAGCCTCGCCGGGGTCGAGCAAGCCTCGCCGGCGTCGGGCGAGGGTCGTCCTCGCCTGAGTCAGGCAAAGTCGCCCTTGCCGGCAGAGAGAGGAAAAGAAAAAAAAAAGGAAAAAAAACAGAAAAAGGAAAAAGACGAAAATGCCCATGGCCAAAGTATTGTGGGGTAAATGTGTCACGAGTCGTATAGTTTGGGGTTTTTCGTGTCACAAAAAAAAGTTCAGGGTAAATTTATCACAAGTGATATAGTTTGGGATTTTTCGTGTCACAAAAAAAAGTTAAGGGTAAATTTATCATAAGTGGCATAGTTTGGGGTTTTTGGTGGTATTTTTCCATATAAGAAACATAGAGTAGCTTTTTTTAGTGGCACAAAGAAAACGAGTTGCGACTCTTTCTATTATTTCTTCCCTTTTAGGCTCTTTTTCATTATTTCACTACCTTTTTTTTTTTTGTAATTTTCCATTTGACATGTATTATATTTTCTATTGGATGTGAAAAATACAGAGGACTACCATGTTTAACAAAAAAATTAATTTCCTTGAGATATACAACATAATGTATTAAAGTATTATATATATATATAAATAAACAGTATGAAAATAAACCTAATATTCATCTTAATAAATACCGAGGAGCAAAATCCGCCGCAACTCCTTCCACGAACGCTCGAGGTTCCGGCGTTCTTCACCGGCGCTCGGCGGCTCCGCACGGTGGCTCCGGCGCTGGACAGCTTCGTTCCAGGTTCTTCCTCTCTCGTTGCCGATTCCAAAGGGTATCTCCGAGAAACCGATCGATCGTTCACGCTGCGAATGCGGCGATGATGCGATTCGGTGCTGCTTCGTCAATCTCGTGCGCCACGATCGTCTGCGACGACGCGATTCGGCGGCTTCGCAGTTCTTCTGCTCCCTTCGAAGTTTGATTTCGCTTCCATCTTTCCGAGCCGGATTTCGGAAGTCTGTTTCGAATTTCCCGCGGGCACGAGTGGCTCGACTTGATAAACGTCTGCTGGAGATTCGAGGCAAACCGCAAGAAGCTGCAGGTAATCTTTCTGAGTGGTTTGATGATACTCTGCTCGATTAGTCGTCGGTTTGCTCGAAATGTTTGAGAACTTTCAGTATTTGCTGGTGTAGAGATTGATGGAGTAACGTTTGTGATGCTGCCTTTCATGTGTTATGTTTCGTTGTGAGACATAGGGTCGGTTATGCGTAAGTCACTGAGAATCTGAAGTGTTGATCGATGATCTGCGATGATATTGTTGTGCCAGTGTTAGTTTTAAATGAAAAACTGCTTTGAATTCGTGGTAAGGTTCAATATTCTCGATGCACGCCAACTGTTTGTTGAAATGCTCCTCAAATACAGATGTGAAATAGTTCACATTTTTTATGATCTAAGTGCATTTCAGTGTAGTATAATCATTTGGTTAACACAGACTCGATTCCATCATTGTTTTGTCATGGTTGAAATCGAATTCTAAACATTTTTTTCTCTCTCCTTGCTGCTCGGTTGTTGTTGTATCTGCTGCATTGGGTCTCTCTGTGGTGACTGCCCGTGACAAATGTTATTGAATTAAGCCTATTCTTAAGAACATCCATACATCAAGATATGGTGATTCTCTATCTTGCATTTTTCTGGTTAGTGGCTGTGAATGGTGAGTGGCCAGCAATGAAAATTGAAGAGTTGTTCAATAACTGAAGCTGTTTAGTGAAAGTGAATGACAATGGTGTTCAGTAGAGATTGATGGAGGAGAGGTAAGGACAGCATCTGTCGTTGGCTGATGATAATAGGTGATTGATGGCGGGGGTATATATGTTCAGTGTACTGACACTTTGGTGATAAGAGGTTTGATTGTTGGTGTTTTGAGGTGGTGAATTTTGGTCATGGCTTTGTGTGTTCTCGGTTCACTAAATGGAAGACAATAGATATATAAAACAGAGATAAAAAAGGAAATGATAAAATAGGAGCAGTAGATTTGGGATGTTGAGGATTGTTTCAATGGTGGAAATCGGTCTAATCTTTAAACTTGAATTGGTTTAGGTGAGTTCCTTTTTACTGCTAATTTGAATGCAGTTGTTTGTGAGCTTTTTTAAGAAACAAACCTTGGAGTGCTGATCTTGGCGAGTCGTTCTCAGCTTAGGGAGAAAGCAAATGGTTCCAAGAAGAAAGAGAGAAAATAAGGAATAATAAGAAAATGGGCTTTGAAGGTTTAGAACTATAAAGGGGCTCTGTATAAAAGCCCGATCATATCTCTTGGCCCAGATTTTTGAAACCATGTTGGACCATGTTCGGATTGGGCTCAACAGCCCAACCCGAGTCCCCATTTTCTAGAAATAAAAAATAAAAAAAATCTGAAATTAAAAATTTGGAAAATTGGTTAGAAAAATAGACATTTATTAGGTTGTTAGATTTTAGTATTGGAAATTTTTTAGTTTCATTTAGATAGTACACACATGGCTTAGGAAAATTCATGATTTTCTCTAGTTTAGTTTTAGTTAGATTAGTCTCTTAAGGAAATTGAATTTGATTTGAACTAAGCTCATGGAGCTTGCAGTCCCGGGGCGTACTTACAAGGCCATGTTATATTTCTGCCCGACTCATATTGGGTTACTTGACCGCACTTCATCTTTTTACTCTCATGATAACACTTCCATGTCATTTCTTTGATTGTGTTTCTTATGTTGTTTTAGCCTATTTGGATGGTTTAGGCCATACACTAGGATCACAATAAACATGGACACTTAGTGGACAAGAACTTTAGGACTCATGATTGGATAAGAAGACTGCATGTACACCTTAGTTCACAAATGATCGAGAGTAGGTACCGAAAGAGCACTAGTTAGATGACTAATGTTAGTCAAGTCCCCGCCCTTAGATCTCTAGTTACGTAGGAAGTGAGGTATATTCCCATACCTCACTTGGTTTCTAGTCGACTCCAATAGGCTGGTGGTGACTCCTCATATAGAATTCTCATAGGGTTAATTGAATTAAAACAAAAAATCCCAATGTTGCGCGAGGTAAGGGTTTGGGAGAATCCGCGCCGAACGGGGACCATTGGTCCTAACTCGGCATTATCTCTAAACCCGTCCTTTTCCCCAACACCTGTATTGCAGCAAAACCAAATCGTTCCCTTTATTTTTCCCTAACAAAGAGAGAAGTGTGTATAAAACTGTGAAAAATGATAAGGTGATCATTTTCCCTTATGAAAACACTACTCGACTGGCCAGCCTCTGTACACTACTGAAAGACTCAGAGAGCACACGGCTGCTTTTAGATTTTTAATTAGGAATTTGTTACTAAAACGCGGAACCAACGTTGATGGGTAGTATTTGAGGTTGGACCCTAGACAGCAAACAATAGGTTTCAGCTTGTAGAAAGTGAGAGCTTGTGACTTACATGAGGTGGTAGATTGTGTGTGAAAAAATCTCATGGTTTTGCACAAAAGCAATATAAACTGCACTATAGCATTTCTTGGTTTCATCTGACGCTGTCTCAAGCATTGTTTTCAAAATCCCGAGTCATTCTAAATTTTTAAATTTGATGGTTTATCTTGAATGGAAGGAAAGTTGCAAAATGATAGAACTGGTATAAACTTTTTATTTGAGCTCCAGAACTGGTGTAATTTTCTCCAAGATGATTTTCTGAATTTTAGTAGACGCTATAGGAACATCTCTGGTAAATGTGCGTAGATCGGACAATTGAGTGTTGTTCATTCTAAAAGCCACATTGACCTGCAGACTTTAGTATCTCATCCATTATTTGTCTCACACTGTGTCTCCTTTTATGTTTCCTGAATGTCAGTCCTCAATGTTTGTTAGCTTTCCTTTCGTTCCCCTCTCAAGAAGTATGTCCGATTGGTGTTTCATTACTTTATTTTCATTCTTTTTGCCCTTAAACTGCTTTGCATAATTTAATGGGATGCCACTAAATTGAAGAGATTATATTTGTTTTGAACTGTTCTCTTCTGCAGCTTCCGTAACAAATAAGGTCCAAAATGGAGTGTGATGATTGGGACAGCCTGTCAAGTGACTCTGAGTTATTGGAACAAGACTTAAAGGATGAAGAGGAATATAACTATACATCCAACTCTTCGTCCAAGTTGCAATTCAGGTCAGTTACTACAAGAAATGGCTTTTCCTTGATACTATTGAGGATGCTTTTGAATTGACGATCCATGAAGGCGTGTTTTACAGGAAAGTAACTTCTGTAGCTCGGTGGAATAGTGGGGTTGGAATGGCTGAGGTGGTGGAAAGGAAGGGTCGGTTATGGACAACAACTGGCATTGTCCGTAGCGGGAAGCTTTGCTGCTCAATTGAAGAGACCTTGTAGGTGATGCATGAGGCGTTGCCAATCTACATTGCTTTGGTGGTGCCTTGATTTTCCACTTCTCTATTCCACATTGGAGAGACTTCAGTTTTTGCTCTTGTCAACTAAGTGGACTTTTAAACTAGAAATTTTGATTCTTAGATTCATAGACACCTATTGATTAACACACATTTGCATAGTTAAGAAGTAGATTTGCCCAGTTAACTTGATGTAAAATTGTTTGTTGATCGATTATTTCTCCTTTTTCTGTTTTGTAGGTTCTTGATGGAAATAGGGGCTTTGCTTCTTTTGAGTGAGAATGATGAATCCATCTCCTTGGAAACCATGTATCAGCAACTAGCAGAGGAGAAGGATGGATGCTGTTGGGAGCTTTATGAGGTCTATAAACACCTGAAGTCACTTGGTTACATTGTTGGTCGGCACGACATTCCTTGGTCTTTGAAGAGTGTCAAGAGAAACACTGGCACAGTTTCTTCTGAAGGTACTTCAGAAAGCCTGGAATTGCACTCACCTCAAGACTGCAATTCTTTAATTAAAAGATTTATAAAGATGGACTTGAATGAACTGAAGCCGGTATTTGATGTTTATCTCCCAAATGGAAAGTTCAGAAAATCTTCACCTGGTGATCCAAGCTATGTGCTTTGCTTAATCAGGTACTAATTTATTAAATTTCTATAACTCACATCTTTTTCTGAGGAAGGCCCAGCATAAAGCTCTGTGCGTCGAGTATTCTCTCTGAAATATAAGCAGATAATTGAAATTTCTCATCCCATTGATTGCCAATGCAAATTATTGAAATTCAATATGCTATCCCAGGACCCGAGTTCCTCATTCCTGGGTTTTGTTGCCGATGTTTCATTAATGTAAGTTGAGAACATACCTAAGTCCCAAATTCTGGAGAGAAACATATAATATCTGGAGAACTTGTTTTCAGTTAGTGAATCAAAGTGGTTGAATCGGCTTATCTTGAGAAAAGAAAATGAAATTCTGCTAAATCTTGATGCTCACGAGTGTGTAAGAACTGGGTTAATCACTATATTATCAGAATAACTTTTAGGGTATTGTCAGTGCTTCTGTTTCAATCTTTTGCAAATTGGCTACTTGCAGAGGCCAACCACCAGCTAAAATAGAAATTGAAGCTCTTGAAAGACAATGTGGAGACATTCCACTGAAATTTTGTCTGGTGGAGCAAGGGCGCGTCAGTTTCTTTTCCTTCAGCAAAGTGGAGCTTCCTGTCCTGCCCTGATAAATGTCTGTGCATGCAGCTCCATAGACCTATTTCATTGGAGTTTCTTGACGCTCTTTCAGAACGAAGGAGATCTAGATTGTAGACTTCAAATGGAGGTGAACGCATGAAGTCTCTTTTCCCTCAAGCCTGGAGTACTTTCTGTGATTGTTCTACTCATAGTTACTATTATTATTCTTGCAGAAAGAGGTGCAAATTTTCACGGAACGAATGCGGGTCAATCTAGCAGCAGAATGATATTTGGAAACAATTGCTGAATGATTGATTATTCAGTTCTCTTTTGGATCCTGTCTCTGCTTTCACTTTCCCCAAGAATTTGCTCCCAACTGTTTGAACTTTGAATGACCAGGCTGATATCTTTCCTCTCCCTGAACTTTCAGTCAATCGAACCTTTTACTGTTTAGTATTGTACGTCTGTTTTGTACCTCTGTGAAGGGAACAAATTTTAGAAAGGCCAGTTGGTAAATTGTATGGGTATGTTGATTTTCTTGGTTACACGATGATGGAATGTCGTAGAACACTCTTTGATAGCATCTTTAAGGGATTATTAGTAGTTTGTTTTTGAAGGTTCATAAAAGAGCGACTTTTTCTTTTTTGTTATTTTTATTACAGAAACCATTTTTGGCCATCAACCTACCCCGTTCTACTTTAAATGTGCCGAAAGATTAAAAGATAAATCTATGTTATTTCTAGCTCTACTATTGCATTTATCTTGCATGGCTTATTTCAATGGGAAAAACAAAATTATTTAGTAACCTTGAGATAAATCGGGTCTGAAATTATCCGAATATAAGCTATGGTTCTACTCATGGCACTCTCTTGGTCCTTTATTGGACAAGTTCCCTGGAAGGATCGTGTGCAATTCAAGTTTAGGCCAAGTTTGTAAGGTCTCGAAAGTTATAAATGGCTAGGACTGGTTTTGGCCTTCGGCCAGATCTGACGTGCTTTGGGATATACAATTTGCTCTCTCTGCAATACTACACCCTTAGGGCCGTTTGGTTTAGCATTTGCCAAATGCTTGCATTTGGAATGTTGAACCCAAATTTTTTATCCCCAAACTACCCTTAGTTATTTTGGCTTATTCCGGTTTTGCCCCTCGTGTGTACTGTTCATCTTCTTCTTCGTGAGGTGGCCGGCGAGGGAGGCCGGCGAGGCGGCCGGCGCCGGATCAGGCCGGCAAGAGGCCGGCGGCCGTCGCCCGAGGCCGGGCGACCCTCGGCGAGAGTCGCGGGACCCAGCCGGTCGCCTTAGGTCGCTCGCGACCGGGTGACCTCGGCGAGGGTCGCGGACCAGCGCCGCCGGGTCGCGCGCTCAGGCGGCCGTCGCACGGGTCGCGCGACCTCGGGCGGCCGTCGCTGGGTCGCGCGACCTCGGCGATCGCCGCCCGAGGTCGCGCGACCCAGCGACGGCCGCCGAGCCGCGCGACCCAGCGACGGCCGAGGTCGCGCGACCTGGCGCCGGCCGCCCGGGTCGCGCGACTCAGCGGCCGCAGGTCCCGCGACCCTCGCCGAGGGTCATCCGGCCTCAGGCGACGGTCGCCGCCCCAGAGTCCCGTCATGGCCGCCCGACCTCGAGCGACGGCACGCCGCGCAGATCTGCTCGCCGGCGGCCCGGCCGGCGCCGGTTCCGGCAAAGGGTAAGTTAGGTTTTTATTCCCAAAGTCCATTTGCAAAAATAATTCACCAAACAATATATTTTGCCCAAAGTAGCTTTATAAAATATTTTTACTAAACACCATTTGCATTTCCCCAATGGGTTTTCACCCAAAGGTATTTACATTCCCAAAATAACATTTTCAAAGTTGAACCAAACGGGCCTTACTCCAATATCTCTAATGAGCTTGTGGGGTTTCCTAGTTCTAGTGGCCTTTTCTTTTCACTGCTGATCAGGAAACCTGGTGCTTGGAGTGCTGAATTTGGTTGGATAGAATCAATGGGCCAAAGGCAAATCTTTCCTATCTTGTTATCCAAGCTTTTCTTGGTGTGCTACTGCTGATCATCTTTGGATGGAAAGGTATAGAAGACTCCATAATGATCCTGTTGTCTTGGATGTTGATACTGTGTTCGGCCGTATGTTTAGTGACGCAAGACTCAGGGTGGAGTCGATGTAAAGCAAAGCAAAGGTCCAGTTATTTCATAAGCAACTCCGTCAGAATTGGGTTCTATAGTTTGGTAGTTTTCAACTGTTGGGCTGCTGTATTGGGGCCAATAGCAAAAGCATTTGCCTCCTGTTGTAAGCCTTTCCTGAGTAGTTTAACCCTATGTATGAACCAAATTGCATAGATTGAAATGATTTGAAACCAATACTAACCAACTTGGTAATCGAGCCAGGACCAGCTTGTTTGTCATCTCTAATCCCATGCCCACACACCCCAAAAAGAAAGCAAGCAAGCAAGCAAGGCCCGACACTGTAGGTATCTGGACTTTGTAAGTAGTTGTAACCCAGATAGTTTGCCCGAAACAGTTTACAGGCAATCAATCGTTGGGATATGAACAGGTGAACTTTCACCTGTTCATAAGTTAGAAACCCACGACCTTCCAACAAATCACGACAACCGTTCTTTGCCTCCACATTCGATATATTTTCATACCATGTGTAATAATTACTCAAGTGCAAGACCGCGTACACACACATATTTAGGAAAAATTAAAGTATACAGCGCCTATAATGCAACAAAGAACTTCACATGAGTGGCTTGATTGGGGATTCTAGCTATCTCACCAACTATTTAATTAAGGGTCGATTTGATCACTTATAGAATTTCTTTTACACTGACAGTACATGATATAATTAATTTTTATTTAATTATCCACAACGACACTATACATATTATTTAGAAAAAAAAATGACAATAATTGTAAGATGGTCGCTCGCTGGTTGAAATTTCCCAAGGTCTAGAGATAATTACTATTATATTAAGAGGGTAGCTGGTTGGACTTATTATCCTTCTTGAATGTACGTCATTCAATTCATAATTCCACCTAACTCCCCAATTCCATGGTCAAGCTAACTTAGTGAAAATCCACAGATTCCATCTTAATTTAAACTAAGGAATGGTCTCATCATTGAACATTGTATTCATCATTATATAGGAAAATTCTTCAGTGACCGACGATACATGAACCGTTCACAAGCGTGACCACTCAATCTCACTTTCTAACATCTTTTTCTTAATCACAATTATTACTAACTCATTACCAAAAATTTCTTCGAAAAACTAATTGTTTTTCAAAAACGGCGGGCCACAAGTGATTGTCAAAATCTGGCTGCTGGAAAATGTGTCAATCTATTTTTTTTTTTTAACAGCTGCATGTATTCCTTGATTTTAGAAGTCAGGAGCTTGGCGGGGCCCCTAGTGAGCCCACTTGAGAAAACCCCACAAACTCATAAATCCCCCTATCCGGGGAAGGGGAGTTCCAAACGCCTCATTTCAACGTGGGAATGGTGGCCACTGGGTCAAGCCCTCAGTAGTTCCAATCTATTTAATCACAATTATATTAATTTGGTACTTTAATTTTGAATTTTCCCTGATTTAGATTTTGCAACCATGCAAGTAAACATAGTTAAGTTTTACTCTACGATTATTGCCAGAAGTAAGACTTTTGTGCATTAATGCATACATCGTCTTTGTGTAGAAGTTAAATCCTTATTATATTTTATTAACGGGAGTTTGGATGTGAGTGCATACCCGGTGCTTCAATTTTCTACCTGGTGCATGAAGCACAATAATTTAGATTAATCTGCTATTGAATTTTAAAGTACAATACTTTATTTTAAGGAAGTCTTGCACATGTTTTCGATACAAACTTGACAACAACTGTCTAATCCAAGAGCCTAGGATAAATCAAGATCTTCGTTCTTAATAACTTTTTGAATACCTATGGAGAAACGGTTGTGTGAACTCATTTTATTATATCAAGCCAATCACATATTGAGAGTATAAGTTGAACCCATATTAAACCTCACTAAAAACACAAGCTCTTATATAATTTCCATATTACGATTGATTATTGTTCATCAAATCACTCGAACAAAGAGTTCATACAAAATGTTTTCTTTCTCTCCCCCCGCTAATTATGATTCACTGTTAATGTGTAGAAAAAACAAGGATAAGGGATAAATTACTATCTAGAGATGTGAGCTATGAAAGAGTCCAATTCGGCCCGAGAAACTCCACCCTCATCCGTTGACCCCCGGACAGCCGCCCCTAACTCAGCCGCCCTCTTCCTCATCTCCTCCCCTGCCTCCGACGCCATGAGCGCCTTCACGGTGCCTTCGATAGTAGATGACTTCACAACGTCCTCTTGGCTCATCCAATCCTTGACAGTAAGTCCAATCTTGAGGACTCGTGTGATCAAGACAGCATTCCAGGGCTGATCCGAATGCATAGGCCATGCGAGGATCGGCACTCCCATGCTGATGCTCTCCATGCAAGAGTTCCACCCGCAGTGGCTCAAGAACCCGCCTGTCGCAGGGTGCCCCAAGATCTCTAGCTGCGGTGCCCAGTCCCTCATCACCACGCCTAAATCTCGAGTCTCCACCATCTCTTCGAAGCCTTGGGGCAGTTCGATTTTCCTCGCCTCTCCTCCTCCGCTGAAAATGTCCGCCTTATCAGCTTCCCTCAATACCCAGATGAACTTCTGTCCACTGCGTTCCAACCCCATCGCGATCTCGCGGATCTGCTCGTCGCTCAGCACCGTCGTGGTGCCGAAGGACACGTATATCACCGAGCTCGGCGCTTGCTTGTCGAGCCACTCCAAGCACAGGTGAGCCGATCTTCTTGACCTCTTTTCGGGTACTTTGACCGGGTTGAACGGCCCGATTGCCCAGTGCTTGGTCATGGTGCCGTTCGTTGCTGCACTGGCAAATAAGTCTACGTAACGGCCTTCGACGACCCTGCACGTGTTGTAGATGCTCCCCGAGCTGAACTTCTCGAACTCGTCCTCCGACGCGACGAACTTCAAGAACTCGTCGGTGAAGGAGTCCAGGAGGGACGGGAAGCCCTTGGAGGAGATGAGCTCCGCGACATCGACCTCCACCTCTGGCGGGGGCGCCATCCCTCTGCTCTCCCACACGTACCAGCAGAGCGCGAACGCGGAAACCGCGTAGAAGATGTAAATCTCGGCGTTGGGGACCGAGGCAGCGTCCTGGACAACGGACGCCATCAGCGAGTCGTTGACCACTACGACCCGCCTCGACCCCGAGGACAGGGAGCGGACGAGGTCGGCAACAGGGCTGCGGAGCGACGAAGTGGTTTCTAACACAGGCTGGAGGTGGGAGGGAAACTTGTGGGGGGAATTAGGGCTGGGGGCGGGGGAGAGGAAGGGTGGGGTTGGGAAGTCGTGGAAGCGGATGTTGCCGGGCGTGGACGAGGGCGGGACATGGAAGCGGAGCTTGGCCTGGTGGTTGTGGGAGGCAGAGCCGACGTAGTGGACGGGGACACCGTAGGAGGCGATGAGGTGGGCAAGCTCGAGGAGCGGGTTGAGGTGGCCTTGCGCCGGAAGAGGCACCATGATCACCACCACTGATCCTGAGACGTCTTTGATTTTAGGTCCGTTTGGTTGCTTTTGGACATGGTTTGGGTCTTGTTGGTGTTGGTGGGAGGACATTACTTTCTTTTTTAATTTGGCTTAAAGAGAGAGATCAGAGATGAATCAAATTTGGCTTGGGGTCTGTTTGAGGGGTTAGCTCTCGGTTTTCTTAAATAGGGAATGGAATCCGAAGACAGGATCGTTTTGACCTTTCTTTGTTAGTTTCTTATTTTTTGCTTCTTCATATTTCGTTTAGAATTGTCTATCGAGAAAGTGTTACGGGTGGCTCTAAATTGACCCCTGAAATGGCTTCATCTAACCCCTCAAGGATCAAAAAGACGAAATTATCTGACTTGTGGGTCTCATTCCTCACCTTCATTTTTCTCCACAAAGTTCACCCGCTCGCAGCTATTTTGTTTCTTTATTTTCTTCTCTTGATAGTGGCCCGCACACCCCCTTTCTTTTTGTTGTAAAGTTCTAGTACGGATCAACAAAACCTGTGTTTGTCAGCCAATGTTGAGCCCTTCATTGAGATATTGATGGAAGAAAGTAGCTTGATAAAATCTAATGAAAACTCATGAAGAGAGGAGCATAAAATTTGGTAGAGAAAAGAGGTGTTTTTTTCCGGGGCTCGTTTACTCGAGAGGAGAGAGAGAAGGAATGGTGTCTTGTTGCACAGCGAGGAAGAGGTACATGAATAAGTACATGACAGCCAAACAAGCATTCTTGGACTTGCAAAAGTTCATAAAAGCCAGATAGGCATTCTCGGTCTCACACTCCATGTACCTCCGAGCGCTACACAGCATCAGATCCGCCCTCGGCTAGTTCACCAACGATGAGACCACCCTCCACCTCCACCGCTGTCCCGCATCACTCGTCTTCTCTGCGACCCTCTCCGCCACAGTCGACTCCAACCCCTCTCAGTCCCAGCTTCAACATCTAGACTTCCAACCCCGGGACCACCTCCCTAGCCTTGTCACCTCCACCTCCTCCGTCATTTAAGAATTTTTCCCCCGTGTTTTCTTTTTAGGAAATGATGCTATTCTTTATTTGACTTTGCAACCAATTACCGGATCAATTAACACCATGAACAATACAGCTAGACATATAATATACAATAGCTACTCTCATAACCAAAGTTAACTCTCATTGAGAGTCTCTCAGCATGGAAGTCATCAATAGGGTCGCAATTGAAGAATGTCTAATCACAAAACATCTCCAATTGCATCACATCCTCTTGGACCTTGGAACACCAATTAAACAGCCAAAAGGATTCTGGTTGAATGACCTCGACCCGAGCACTGTAGGCTCTGAGCTTGAAAGGCAAGATTTTGTTGATGTTTAGAGTCAGAGAGAAAACAACGACAAAGTGTTTATGGTGGCTCAACCCTAATTAGGGTTGTATGATATGTATTTATAGGAGTGACTAATTACAGAAATGGTACACATATAAGCATAATTACATAAATACCCCATAATACATATAATTATACATTAATACTCCCCCTCAATCCGAAGTAGGTGTAACAACTGAGAGATTGGATCTTAATAACGCGTGACGCGGACTAGGTAGTCCCTTGGTGAAGATATCTGCCAATTGATCTGTTGTAGGCACGTAGCGAACATGGATGTTGACACCTATTTTTAATTTGCCCAAAATTAATTACACAAAATTTAGGAATTAATTTTCTTTAATTCCTAAAACAAAAAAATATTTCTATTTAAATGCATTGCATATAGACATTAGGCATATGTGCATTAATAGGGCCTATTAGAGCATATTTTCTTAAATTTTAAACAAAAAATTAAAAAAAAAAAAAAAAATCGAGTCGGGCCGGGTCGGAGCTGGGCCGACCCGGCCCATTTCTTTTTTCCTTTTTTCCTTTTTTCCCCCCTGGCCCGGCCCAGCCTTCTTCCTTTTCTTCTTCTTTCCCCCACGCCGCTGCTGGGCCTGGCCCGGCCCAGCCTTCTTCCTTCCTTCTTCTTCCCCCTGCGCCGGTCGCTCTCTCCTCCCCTGTTCTCCCCTGTGCGCGACCGACGCGTGACGCACGGCGGCGCCGCTCATCGTCATCATCCGGTCAGAGGAGGCCCAGGCGGGCACGCCACAGGGACTGGCCATTAAGGCCAGTCCCGTCTTCCCCATCTCCCAGGCTCTCTCTCCCTCTCTGCCCCGTCTCTCTGCACCCTCTCTGTACCGGCCCCCCCATCTGCTCTGCTCTGCACCGGCCTGCCATGGCCGCGAAAGTCGCGGGGCAAGTAGGCCGGTGCAGGCCATCGTCACGCCGACGCGGCCGGGCCCAGATTCATCGTCGTGGGCTATGAAAGACAGAAAGAGAGAGAGAGAGACGGGGGGCCATTTTTAGAAAAAATACAGAGAGAGCGTGAGAGCGTGAGCCGGGGAGAGACAGGAAGCCTCCGGCAGCCACCGCGCCTCAGCCATCCATCCCCGTCGCCGAGCCGACGGCGGCGACACAGAGAGAGAGAGAGTGGGTCGGCGATTTTTAGAGAAAAACAGAGTGAGAGAGAGAAACCGAAAGAGACCGAGAGAGAATAGAGAGTGAAACAGAGAAGAGAGAGGGAGCCGAGAGTCCGCCGGAGCTAAAGAAGAACTAGCAGCGGTCGTCGACGCCGCCAGACCTGCCGGAAGCCGTCCAGACGCGCCATCGGCCAGGTGAGCCCCCCGGCCGCGAAGCTCCCACATTTTCCCACGATTTTGGCTCGGTTTGGCCGGGACTCGCGCCCGGCCGTTTCGCGCGAATCCCGGCCCATACCGTCGTCGGTCCCGACTCCTAGTCGCCGTCGGAGGTGAACCCAAGCCGCTGGAGTCGACCGGACCGCCGGAGGAGGTCGGAATCCCCCGTTTTTCCACGCGCCCGCCAGGCGTTCGACGAAATGTCTCAACCACGCCGGTTTTTGTTTCATCGCCGGCCGGCGAACGGTGGTCCGACAGCGACTCGAGGTGAGTGGCACGGCCCAGCAGGGCGGTCCTAGTCGGGCGACTTGGGGGCGGCTGGCTGGGTCGGCCGGCGGACGGCCAATTTTGGCCTCGCCGCGCCCCTCTCCCCACGGTCTGTTTGTTCGGGTCGGATTCGACCCGAATCAACAGATCCGACCCGGGTCAACGCCCGGGTCGGATCCGTTGACCCGGGTTGGTTCCGACCGACCCGGATTGACCGATCCGCCCGGGTCAACGCCCGGGTCGGATCCGTTGACCCGGGTCGGTTCCGACCGACCCGGATTGACCGATCCGACCCGGGTCAACGCCCGAGTCGGATCCGTTGACCCGGGTCGGATCCGACCCGACCCGGTTAATATTATATTATTATTTTATTTTATTTAAAAATTAAAAATTTTAAAAAAAAATTTTTAAGAAATTTTTTTTTCTTCTGTATTATTATTACTATTTTTTTCTTCCGAAAAAAAAAAAATTTATTTTAAATTTTTTTTTATATGTTATATCTAAGTGTTTTAATTTATTGTATTATTATGCATGTTTTTTGTCTTGTTTGAATTAGACAAGCCTGAGGTTGCGCGATAGTATTTTGCATGTTAGTTTTTATTATCGCTGTATTATTATGCATGTTTTTAATACAATTGCATGAGTGTTGTATTTTTGAATGTCATCTGACTTAGTTAAGGTTAGAACCTTAGACTGCATGAATTGTTGTGTTCTTGACTGTTAATCGTTTCTGATTATGCACTCGCTTAATCACCTCACATGTTAGGAGAAAGGTCCTAAAATCAATCCAAATTGCCTGACAAATGTTTTCAGAAATGAACAGGGTAAAATGGTACCGAAAGGGCATTAGTTATCCAACTAGTGTAACCAAGTCCCCGAACTCATTTAATCTCTGGTTCGTAGGAATAGGGTGATTCTCCCATCACCCTATTTGGGTTTCTAATCGACCCACCCCAAATCGATTAGTGGCGACTCCTTGATATAAACCACTTGCATGTTAAATACTTAAACCCTAAGTCGCGATATGGTATGGGCTTGGGAGGGCCCGAGTTAAGTCCCGAACCTAGACTTAGCACGTACCAGGCGAGCCCCCCTTTTTTGCATGTTGTTTAAAAGAGGGCTCAGGAGTTCGGTCGCGACAGACTGGCGACTCCGCTGGGGACTTGTTGTTTTTTAAAAAAAGTGGGCTTAGGCAAAAAATTTTATCCTGTTCAAAATAATTTTTGTTTGGCAGCAAGGACTCCAGGTACGATACTAACATTAAGGTGTTATTTGTGTTTGCAGGTTCGAATTGATTGTTTATAATTTGTTGTGCATGCTTTAATGATTTAGCACTACACCGTTGCACACACAGCCACGCTGCCGGACCTGGGCCGCGATAGGGCATGTTAGGATGGTGTTAAGAAAGATACGACCTCGAACGCGAGCCCGCGATGTAGAGATTGCCTTTCTTTTCCCCGAAATTTATTTCTAAAAATCGTAAAGAAGTATCTTTAGCCGCTATTCGCGTGACTATAAGATATTCCTTTCGATTTGGCCGAGGTTAAAAGGACTTGACACCAACGCGAGACTGCGACGGTCAGGCACTCTTTTAACTTCATGTTGCTAAGCCAGTCTAGATAGAAATCGAACCTCACTCCTCATGTGTATGTCGTTGTGATTGCCATGGTTCAAGGAAAGGTATATATTCTATCCCTTCTCATTTTTTTTTATATATATACGGCCTACTTATTCAATTGATTTGTTACTGTTAGGCCACCCGTTGATTGCAGTCTATATATCAGGGATACGCTTATTGCGGAGCTTGTCCGTAAAAATAAGCGCCTCCGAGAGACCGTGATTTCCTCATCGTTTATAAAATGAGTATCCGGGAAAGACACCCTTTTGTTAAAAACCCCGTCTTTTATATTTCCCTGTATTTATGTTCAGGGATTTTGGTTATCTCCTGTAAAAATGTTTTTGGGTTGTACAAATGTTAATATAACTCGGGCCGTTTTTTATGCTTTAAATAAAATTTTTTGCCCCTTAATGACACCATCACGGCCTTCGGCCCAGTGGTATCCGGGGATGAGCAGTCACGGTCCGAGGCGACCGGGGTTCGAACCCCGGGGACGCCGCCTGTAATGTTAATATTAATAAAAACCTTTTTTGCTTATTTTTTCTTTGCAAATAAAGAAAATATGCAGTAATAATATGAATAAGTCATAGAATGATTCTTTATTGGGCATTATACTCATTCATATCAGCGTTTTCT